TCGTGACTTTTCCCTGAGCGCACGAGACTGCCGTTTCTCAGCCGCCGCTTCCACAATTACTAGTAACAAGGTCTTTTGCATGTAATTTTGTTTCAATAATCATATGGTTCAACCCGTAACTATCATGTAGTTTTTGTAACTTTTAATTATAATTTTAATTGTAGTTTTATATAACTGTTATGAATGTGTAATCATTATTTTTGCTACTTTGATATGTACAGCGCTATTAAATATTGTTAATAGAAATGGCGCTTAAGAAATGAAATAAATGTTAAATGTTACTAGTATAGACTACATTATTAGTGTTCTAATTTGGATTGTAAAATATGCAAAATGGGGGGGGGTGACCAGAACCACTCAACTAGTTTTCCCCTAGCGGCCTTATTATGTAAAGCAACCTGAACGAAATTTTCATCTCTGGATGTCACTGTCCTGTGATAAATTTTCTAAGGTTGTTATCTTCCCATTATGTTGATGCCCTCGTTTTGATTGTGGAATGTCCTCCTCTTCAGATAAAATACATCTCATGTTGGGATCTCAACAACCAGCGCCGCACCTCTGCTCTCTGGCACGTTGGCACCAATAGTGTTGCATTCGAGTCCATCAAGAGTCCTTTCACAAGTCCCTTCACAAGGCCAGTCATAAGTGACACGGTAAACAATGACAAAAAATGCTTTTGTCACAGTTCATTTGAAAAGCTTTTGAATTGTGATGGACTTGCAGGGACTTGTAATTGACTCAAATACAACACTGCCTCTGAGCAAGCACGTTGGGCCAACACCGAAACAGCAGCGCAACCAGTACCCCCTACGCGGTGTGCACTGCCCGGTACCAACCAGAGACCCTATACGCTTTTACGCGCATTTAGACGAAAAATCTGATGTACTGTGCTCCAAAGGTGCTCCAAAGCAGACATATGGGAACCAGTGCTGGACTAGGTGCATCTACTAAATTTAAGTGAATAGTATTCTTACGAAAGAATGCCCCTTCTTTCTTGTCCTTGCATGTATGTTTTTAATTCTGTCATCATCTCCCATGCCTGAGCACCACTGAGACACTGAGAAGTATAGCAGCAGTTTTGAGGTTTTGTTGGATAATATAGTTATAAACACGTCTTCGTAAATTAAGGAATACACGTATTTCTTGAGTACTCTATAACTAAAATATCAATGTATATATTACATGTGTTATTTTTTAACTAATAAACTTAACCGAATAGAGTTTTGTCATAAAATAAATAAAATAAATTAAATAGACTTTGTCATATAAATAAAATAAGGATACATATGTATCTGATTGGCATGAAATGGTAATTGCAAAGTCTTAGCTTTCTTAGTTTTGGGTGAATGTTTCATTTTGAATTGCGTGTAGAAAGAAACAATCAGTCCGTGAACATTTCGCTCATTATGAGATGTTAGAAACACACATTTCACGTTATGTTTCCATGTCTGTCTACAACAGAACATAGGGCTTTTCCACATTTCTAAGGTTTTTAGAAAAAATGCACTAGCCCCACTTGCAGGTGCTACACAGAATGAAAAGTCACAAAAACCTATGGGATTTGGAGAAAATGTAAAAAGCAGGAAAAATTAACAGGATGGCGTCATCATTACGTCACAACACGGGATTCATACTTTATGAACTTCTACCTAATATCCATAGTTTTACATGGATTAGACTTTAATGAGGAAATAAGCAATTTGAATAAACGTCAAATATCAAAAAAACCAAAATATTCAAATGATCATGTCGTCATGACTTCAAATCACTTACATGTGATGTATATGATCGGGAGTTTAGGTTCGTCCTAAGGAGGGAATTACTGTACGTTGAGAAATATGAGAATATGTAAATCCAAATTCGATGACATCGTCATGACTTCATGAAGGTTTCCAAGCAACCCTTACGCCTACTTGAACTATCTAAGGTCTTGTCCAAAGAATTTTGGAGAAAAGTTGCTTTGTTTTGGAGATATGTCCAACAGAATGTTAAAATGAAGAAATGAACAATTCATTGAAAATC